TTTGACCAACACAAAGATCATTTTATTTCAGATTGTGCAACTTTTTATATCAGTGCAAAATATAATTTGCAGCTTTCCTATTCATAACTGCCATTTCACTGAGTTTGTAAAACATTTGAGGGGCACACCCTTCCCAAAGCCAAGTCCCAGAGGACATCATCTTTATATAGCGAACCACTGCTAAAATGGAGCCCAAACAACTGCTTCACACAGGATGCACACACAGCTATATAGTACAAGCTATTTGTTAAATGCTTCCTATAAAACACTATAGGTATATAATAGTATATGCATAAAACTGCAAAACACTTGAATTGAAATTTCCATAATGACAGCAATGCTGTGAAAAGTTAACCTAACTGTTGAAGTGGCTCACTGAGTGAAGACATGCTTTGGCAGCTCTAAATGAACTCTTTAATAAGAGTTCTTTAATAAGAGTTCATTTAGCGCTATACATACATTCACCTCCAGCAGCTAACACATTTACAGAGCTGGGAATCTTGTTAGTATTTTTACTGCTATGGTGGAAATCATAAGATACAAAGGCTATAAAAGAGGAGATGAGATTACGTCTGTGTATGCGTCTGGTTAACGCTCCAAATCTTTCCAGTCTTTCCTTCTTCCAGTGCTCTGAACTGATTGGTGTGTCTCAGTTCTCCTCTGATGGGAAAACCAGTACCTCAGGGTATAAGCATTTAGACAAGGGGAAACCTGTCTTTCATGGAAATTATGAAACTGCATGTAGTGATAGGTTATTTCTGAGTAGATGTGGTTGAGTAGCTCAGGGATGCTCAGATTATTTCACTATAACTTGCACCTCACTTTCTGCACCAATCTGAAGTCGAACTTTGGAGGGTTTTGATTAGATGAAGTTGTAGATGGTTGTCCTGGTGACTAACACACACATCTCATTAACTTTGTGCGTTTTTTTCTTACCTTCCCCTTTTCCGTACTTGGCTGAGGGCAACCAGGACTCGGCACCCGTGAAGCCCAGCTCTCTGCATACCACTTGGGCAGCATAGATGGAGAAGTCATCATCGCACACCGTCCCCCACTCTCCATTGTAAAAGACTTCGACCCGACCCTCGTAGTGTTTCTTCTTCTCCCCGGCTAGACGTAGCTGGATCACAGGCTGGTTAGAGTCTGACTGGGCGCTGGATGGCACCAGCAAGGTGTAAAGGAGACAGCAGAAAACAGCCAGGAGCAGCATGATGCAGAATGATGAGGGAAAAGATTAATACCCTAAAGAGAGATACAAAGAGACAAAGAACTGTGACCATCGGCTGTATAACACTGCAATAAAGTGTGTTTTTGGCATTTTTTTAAGTGGCTTTTCTCAATTCCAAGGATTTAACCTGGAGAGTTATCTGAAGACAGGCTGAGGAAGACAGTCTTTTGTGGCATGTGGTAGTTCAGTTTATTTGAGAGTAAGCGGTATCTGTATAAAATGCTGAGCTTGGTTTGGCTCTCATATCAGGCTTCAAGAGAACTGACACTAGAAACTTTGCAACCACAAGTATAGTAAAAGAAATTACCACAATTTCACAGTATATTAAGCAAACGTATGGACACGACTGCCAAAAAAAGGGAAATTTGGGGAAAATCTGGGGAAAGAACATAGGTTAGGTGGCAAGAATTTCTCTCTCCATTGTCTGACAGCCTAATGGAGAGCAAATGTGGGCTCCTCCAGGGAGGGGGCTGCCCGTCTTATTTATTTGCTGATCTATGCCTGGAGGCCAAGGTAAACTCTCTGAACCTGTATTCACAAAGAAAGTTGACTCCATGTGCATCATTATTTCATGGCAAACCATGAATGTCTCAATGTTGGGACAATAAGCCCTGAGGGAGTAAAGGGAGGGATGGAGGAGAGGGAACGTTAGGACACCTTCACATCATCCTGTTCTGAATAGCAAGGGAGGAGATTTGGGAGGAGATTTGGGAGCAGGGGGGGGGGGGGATTCCTGTGTTGACGTCATGGTAACCAAACAAACTTCAGACTTGAAAAACCTCCTCTGGAGTACACAGCCTATAAATTATCAGACTGTGAAGCATATGTTTCGCGATACGGAAACATCTGGTCAATCTCCCCGTGAAATGAACATAGGTTCAGCATGAGTACAGAGACACTTTAATTTGGCTTTTCAGTATTCAGTCTTGTACTTTATTAAACCAAGGGAGTGAAAAAGCGCACTGTAATGGTTTTAAATCAGTCAGTCAGAGTCTGAGTGAATTTCTGAACAGCTGTGCGTGCACAAACTATACTCCAACCAGCACGTGTACAATTATGGTGTATTTAAAATGGTAAATGGCCTGTATTTGTATAGCGTTTTACTATACTCATGGATTTTGTATTTAATATAAAATTTAATACAAAATCCATGAGTAAAAAATACTTCTAAATAAATACTTCTACATATTGCATGTCATAGGCAACACTTCTGTAGACACACCCATATGTTACAGAAGAATCTACTCTTAACAGTTAAAACTTGTGGTCCCAGAAAGGTGGTGAATGGACATTTTTACATCATATGCTGTGTCATGCAAAGCTTAAAACGTGTAGTTGCAAAGAAACAATAGGATCAAACAATAATTAAATACTGCTTGCCCTTTAAAATAGGAATTCTCAAATCCTACATACTTTTATTGCTTTTTCAGGCAAAATCAGGGCTCTTGTGCTGTCTGTTGTTCATCTGAATTAGTCACCGATAAAGAGATATTAAGCCCTGACCAGAGTGAAGAAAGATCGACTACAAAATCGGTAGGTGTTGAAGGGTCCTTAGCACAGCTGTCTACTGTCATCACCAGAGTTAGCATGCATGATAAAAGTTTGTTACTAGCAGGACTGTAGTTCGTGTTCTGATACAGCAAACCCCAGCGCGCTTCGACACATAAATAGGGAAAAAGAAAAAACACTTGATATAAAATACATTTTCAATGAATATAAAAGAGACAGAACATGCAAATATAAATCCTGCCAGGTTTTTAAGTTTCCGAAGAGAGAACCCATTAGGCAAAACTCAGTCTGAACAAAGTGTGATATCTCAAAGTTTCACACATTCATGCACGTGCCAAACAACATCCAGTCGGACAGCAGGAGGGAGGGAGGCTGTCTCCAAAGTGAAAGGACTTACTCTGACAGACGGAGGACAGTCAGCACAGTCTTTTGAGGACGCTGAGGTTTCCAACCTGTCTTACAGGATGGCATGTGAAGCAGGGGCTCTTTGTCCCTTTAGTACTCTGCGGGCCGTTTCCTCTGCTCCCCTCACAGCTGGCAGCGCGCGCCCGTCCCACTCTTCACAAACTCAGCAGCCAATGGGAGGGTGCCTCAGCATCCTAAACCCGCCCCCCTCAGACCCGATTACCGAAGTTACAAAATCTAAGGGTCCTGGTCTCTTTGTATCTGGAAATGACTGAGTATTTTTTTACTCGTTCTAGGAGTTTTAAATGGTAGTTTCCCTGCGTTTTAATATTAGTTAAGATGGTTTTGTCAATTCATGCCTTCTATGATTGACTAATTTTCTCCAACGTATTGTTCAACATGCCAAAGTAAGAGAAAAGCAGAAAACTGTCAATAAAGGGACATATAACTGATAATGATGATGATTTCCTCCTATTTTTCGCTGTTGAACACATCTGGTGTTGTCCACTTAATAATGATCTTGACTGCGAGAAAGTGAAATGGCTGGTCAATTAGAATAAAGGGGGTGGTGCTGAATTTCTGCTTCTACTGGGCTTTCTAAATATTTTTTTTATACCTTGATTAGACAGGACAGTGTGGAAATAGAGGCTGGTTGACCTAAGATAGAGGAAAATGCCATGTCAAGCAAGCTCTTTCACACCTGGAACATTTTGGTTATTTGGTATGTGCCTTAACCATGAGGGTATCCCAGCACACTGGTGTTAAGGACACCATCATGTGGAAAGAATGTGTAGTAAAAAAGACTGAAGTGCCAGGCTTGGAACAGGCCAGCTTGATAAGGTATGTATGTACTGTTGGCCTGTGCAAGAAGTGTAATTCAGAATAACAAGCAAGTCTTCATATCAGTCATCATCAAATGTCAGATACTAAAAATTATAGTATGTTGATCAAAAAAACTTGCACAAATTCTCTCTTCTTCTCTCTGCTATCTAAAAACCCAGACTCCAGATAGAAATGAGCCTAATTTAGAAATTAACTAGTGTGACACTCGATCCTAATTGATCCCACAAAACCAGTAACCTCATAACTGCTTCACTAGGAGAAATACTGTGTTTCTACAGTGAATCTGATGGCATCCGTAGCAACATTTGGCAAAGTCCTAATGTTCCTAACAGCTCAAGTTGAATCAGAAAAGGATATATGTAACAGGGAAACTGGGATTTAATGAAGACAAAGCCAAACAAGCAAAATTAGTGATTATTGGGTAACAATGACCTGCTTTCCACAGATTCCGTTACATGTAAATGATTGACAGCCCCACTCGAGCCCAGAGGAACAGGAAGCAGGCTGTATTTTCATTCAAGCTGCAACATAACATGGGGATGTAAATCACATTTCACATAGGTGACTGAAGTTTTTTTTTTTTGTAGTCTACACATCTAAATCAATTTGTTGTTGAAATTAAGGCAGCACGGTGGCATGGTAGTTAGCACTGTGGCCGCACAGCAAGAAGGTCCTGCGTTCAATTCCACCATCAGGCCGGGGTCTTTCTGTGTGCATGTTCTCACGGTGTTTGCATGGGTTCCCTCCAGGTCCTCCGGCTTCCTCCCACCGTGCAAAGACATGCAGCTTGGGATAGGTTATTTGGATAATCCAAATTGCAACTAGCTGTGAATGTGCGAGTGAATATGAGTGCAAATGGTTGCCTGTCCCTGTGTGTTGGCCCTGCGACAGACTGGCCATGCAAGTAGGCAATGACTCCTATTTAGCTTGCCTCTGTTTTCATTTATTTATTGCTACAACGGAAGCTGATGATTTAAACGAGCTTAAATGATTGTGACCAAGAAGGAGAGTGGCATATTATTAAATCTTAACCATTTATTAAGGAATGCACAAAATATAACAGTTGACATACAATCTGAGTATACGTAATTCTTTCGTTTTACAAACATTAGCAACACAATTATGAATACTCTTTTTATAAAGTATAAAATGTACTATAACTGTGAATTTTAAAAGCACCTTCCAACTAATGTTAACACCACCACGACGGGACATGAGGTCACACTGAAACCCACTTCATTTTGCTGTGACATTTGGCAATTGATTGTGCTGATGTAATGAAGGCTACTGTACAAAATGTGTCTTTTATACACTTCGGACCAAAAATGCACTCGTGTGCTTATTCAAGTGAAATCAGACCAGAAAATATTGATACAGCAAAAGATGTACAATGAACCCGACAGGCCTCGCTGATCTATTGCTGAAGGTGATAGCACTGAAACTGCAAATCCACTGCAACTGACTGCAGTTCAATCATACAAGAAATACACTGACTACAGTACTCTTTGCAAACAGCTTGGAAACAACTGCACAAAGAAAAAAAATAAACCTGTTTGTCTTTCTTTTGTTTTCTCTCAAAAGGCACAAGCAATGTGTTGGCTCATAAATAAAATATGGACACAACCCCAAATAATTTTTATGGCAACTGGTAACTTTTCCACACTCAAACGCAGAGCAGTCGAAAATGAAACATGCCACATGGTTTTGTACTACAGCATAATAAAAGCAGGTTTTACAATATTAAAGTCAAAGTATCATCAAAGTGATTAAAAACTTGGATTTAATATTTGATTCTTTTGAAGTGCTCTTTATATTTAACAATCCCCAAGATTCAAAAACAGCTTAATGTAAACCCACGTATAACTGAAGGACACACTGTGTAAACCTGTGAAATAAGAAATACAAACTGAAAGGCAACTTACTTAATCTGAGATAAATGACCTGAAAACTATACAAAATGATCCATTTAGGCACTCAGCACATGGATTGTATTATTAACGCAGTTAATTGCAGTATAAATGTGCTCTGGTGTAAAGAAAATGTGCATGCATCCCTGCCAGCGTCATCTTTTCCCTTAGCTCCTGCACACATGCAGTGTAAAATGGGGGTGGAAAATCGTTATGAGACGAGACGTGATGAGACAACACTTGAAAATGGGTAAATCCCAGAAACGTAAAATGATACTTTACTGTAAATCCTGAAGCAAAGGTTTACAAATCATTGAGTGACTTATTAAAAAAAACAAACAACAACATTACATCCTGTTATAATTGTGTGCTTCTTCAATGGTCCTGACATGATTAACACAACAATAGTTGTACTCTCATCGTATTTCAGTCTGAAAGGAGAAAATGAGCAAGTGCAACCATACTGTCCTTCAGTAATATACTGTATATTTAAACAAACAAGCAATGAAAGTTGCAATGTGCCTGATCTATGATCATGTAAAAGATTTAAAGCAGATGTTGTTGTGAGAAAAATCTGGGGCTGAAGAGGAAGCAATTAAGAGCCACAGAGTTTGATGAAAGGCGTCCTATTCTGTTCCCAGTTTGGCGATCAGTTCATCACAGATCTTGGTGAGCTCTTCAATCTCTTGATTCTGTAAAAGACAGAAAAAAAATTAGAGTTAAATGTGCTAAAACTTAAACATATAAGCCATTCAGAATTTATGGAGTTAGTGGGACTCTGCAGCTTGTCCTTCTTTTGACGATTTTGCTTTAAGTAAACAGAACATTGCCCTCTAGTGGGCAGTTCAGATCATTGTAAATTAAGTGCATTTAAAATCACTATTCTGCTGGACTGTGTTCTATTTATAGAAGTAAAATAAGGAAAACAGGAAATCATCCCTTTCACTATCTTGAAGATAAACCCAAACAAAAAAGAAGTGACAGGAAACATCAGGATTTGCGTGAAGCAGTGACTAAAAACTGCTAATTGTTTAACTTCCAGAAAAAATGACACTGGTGCTTAAACTCATCTTGTTTGACATCTTTTTGCAGAAGAAAATGAAAAGTGTGTTCAGCACACAGACAAGACCCAGTAGAGCTTTCAGTCTTAATTACCTAGGTTTTTCAGCACAATCACTAACACAGTTAAACACAGTCAGATCATTTTAATTAAATTTGCTCTTATCCTACCTTCTGAAGGACAGCTCTTTCAAGTGACTCCACCTTCATCTGCTCCTTTCTCAGGCTTGCGTTTAGGGCCACACTCTCACCGTTTGCCTTGGCACGTACCTGGGCTATGTCCTCATTGGCCCTGTTACAGAAGAAACGATGTCAGACAATGTCAGAATGAGAAATGACGCCTAGCTTTGAAATGTAAATGGAATTTCAGGAGTCAGTATTTGAATAGAAATGAAATCTTGGAAGCCTAAATTGCAGACTTACTTGTCGAGTTTCTCCTCAGCGTGGATTTTGAGGGTTTGATATCGCTGCTCCTCTTGCTTGATCCGCATCAGGTAGTCTTGAGCACACTTCTTTAGCACCTCCTCATTCTGGAGAGACACATGTAAAACAGGTCTAGTCAAGTTATGCGAAGGTGGCCCACACAGCTTCTCATGTGATTCATACTGAGACTCTACTGACCTTCTTAAAGCCCTCCAAGACTCCCTTCATGTTCTCATACCGCCTAAAGAGGTCAGCAAAGGAGCGCTCCACTGAGTTGAGGTCAGCCAGGGCCTGATCTCTCTCTAAGGTCAGCTGTCTCACTGACTTACTACATGACAGGGTCTTCTGCTGCTGCTCATCCTCTGTAAATAAATGAGCCAGAGTATAAAATAAGGGCTAAAAACACACAGCAGCTGTGAGACAAAACAGTGTAATGCGATAACACATGAGTGCACATTAAAAATCCAGAATAGACAGTGTAGAAATAATGTTTTATGACAATGCTGTGTTTTTTCCAAAGTAACAAATAAATACAAGATTAATCCCAGGCTAGAGTGTGACTCCTAGCTTTTCTGGGTAGTGCTGGTCCTCAGTTTAAGGTCAGTGCAACAACAACAGAAACATAGAAAACAACAGGCTATTTATATGGGTATACAGTGTAATGTACTTGGCTTGAAAGTCAACAACAGGTCATGCTGGTGAAAAATGTCAGACTGCAGGTGGAAGTAAAAGGTCGAGCTGATAGCAGCACAGGTCTAAAGTGAAACCTGACACTTTATTTTTTATAGCCGTTGACCAATAAGGCAACCCCCCCCCCAAAAAAGACTGAAGCCACTGACTGTGCTGTTCTGTTCCACCACACTGTAACTGTAATACAGCCTTACATATTACCTATAGGCTGTTAAAAACAAATTAAAAAGACTGCAGCCTATTAGACTGTCTATTACACAGTAGGTTGGTATTACACGTGTAGATTATATGCATAAAATGTTAAAAAAAACATATACAAAATAAAATGCACGGTTGAAGTGTGCTCAGCTGTTGCACTGCATCCATGCATCTGTTATGATGTACATTATGAATTGAATAGTCTGATGGCGGTTGCGCAAAAATGACGTGTAATGGATACATGATGGTTTCCTTTTTGTATAAATATCCATATAGATCAGAGAAACAAAATGTACATCTAATTTGGGGGTTTGTTTGAAGAAGTCACACAGTTGTTGGAGCAGTAACGTAGTGGATAATAACAAATTCATGGAGAGCAAAATCACCACTAGGTGGCAGCAACTTACCAATCATCTGTGCGACTGTTTTCTCATATTCTGCAACTATTTTCCTGTCAGAATAAAAACCCAAAGCAGTTACTGTCATCTTTGTTTTCACATGTTCAATTGTGTTTAATATAACATAGACAGGAGCACTCAGACAAACAAATGCCTCGTACCTCATTTCCATAACCTCTGCTCGACTTTCTTCATATTTTCTCTTCCATTCATTGACCTCAATCTCTTTAACGATGATCTGTTTAGACAGGAGAGACATAAAATTAAAAACTCAGCTATGATCAAAAATAAACAGTTGAGCATAATAACAACCGGCCCTTTTACCTCTTCTCTGATCAGGGTTAGCACTGCAGCTTTGTCCATCTCGCTCAGAGGCACGCTGTCCTGGGACAGGGCTGCTGTGTCAGGGCCCTCATTGCAGGTCAGTTTTGTTGTTGTGGACATCGCACTCTGTGGAAGGAAACATATTGTTTGAGGCTGTTTTGAGGCAAGTAGCTACACTACAATAAATATTACAAAATCTGGTTTGGCCATAAGGTGCAAGTGATGTTATCTTAGACAAATATTGTGATTCATTGAGCAGAAATAGCTATGAATGAGAGCATAGTTGGACCTGTTATTGCTAACCCGAAGAACAGCTGACAATGCAAAACAATCCTGTCATGCTAAAATATTTATACCCCCTTGCTATTGTTCCTATAGTCTACTTACTATATCATCTTTCAGGCTGAAGCTGTCCTTCTCCTCCAGCTGGTCTGCAACCTTTGTCTCAGAACCTTTGACAAGATCAAACACGTAACTCAATAAGAAAAACTACTGTAACTATCCATATCACAGTTTTCAAAAACAATCAAATGCACATGAAGTAAAGAGTTCATACTTACTATTTGTCTAGTTCTGTGCTTTTTGTTTTGTTTTTTTTATTGAAAAGACTGCATGGCTGGTCCTTATGCACAACTGTGGGGAGCAGTATAAATACTGCCCAGTGTGGTATTTATACATTTCTTTTATCCAGGACAGAATACTGCTGAGCATGCCTGGTACATTTTTCTTCCCCTCCCTTAAGCGTGACGCAGTAGTTGTTGAGAAAATTATGTAACCGCATCACCTTCCTCGTTCACATCGTCTTATCAGTTTTATTAATAGAACTTGCTGTGTAAGCATCCTTTCCACTGAGGCTGATTTAAAAGAAAATCTAAGATATTGTGCTTTTTGACTTAAAAACATTGTCCTCAGACGTTACCTTAACTTTTAGCCAAGTTCTATCCAAGCAAAGCCTCCGTTCACTCTATATTACCGTCTTAAATACTTAAATACTCATACTTCTAAACAGAAATAGGCCATGTCTGTACAAATGTCACTGTAGAGCTTACCATCCATTATCACTGGATCACTGCTTAGCTGCTTTTTTGCAGGTGCTTTATTGCATTCTGGCTCCTCTCTCTCCTGCTGGCTGTCTGTTGTCTGTCCCATCATACAAGTGGAGGCCAGTTTCTCCTCATCGGTGGCATGATGAACTCGCTGAGTGATTTCTGGGGTCTGTACCACCACTTCATCCTCATCCTGGACATGAGAGAGCGAGGTATCTGTACATATATCCTACACGCACATTTCCATCACTCAGAGACACACACACACTCACGCACACACACACACACACACACACACACACACACACACACACACACACACACCACACACACACACACACACACACACACACAAGAGCCTAAAGGCACTGTTGGTGAATGCGTGGGCACAAAATATTACTTTAGGCACTAGTACTGTGCAAAAGTCCTGACTATGCCTCCAGCATAATGATTGATAACTATTCAGACCAAAAATTTGTCACATTTGGATTCATCACTCAATCAGACCTTTTGACCCTTTCAGTTTGGTTCTTGTGCAACTTGCCATGCCTCAGCCTTTCTCCCTGTTTCCCAGCTTCTTGGCAGCCACCCTTGTGCTGAGTCCATTTCTAACGAGGATTCAGTGAACTGTAGGTCGATCAACTGAAGCGTCAGATGCATCTCTCGGTTCTCGATTCAGGTCTTTGCTGGAGTCTTGCTGTTTTTTTAAGAACGTTCATCTGCTGTAGATAGTTTTTTAGGGCAGCTACCTTTTCTTTTTTTCTTCATTTGTCCAGTTTCTTTCATTCTTTTAAGGATACGCTGCACACCATGATGAAATATGCCAAGTTTGGGGGTAATTGATTGTTGGGACACACTGTGTTGGTGCCAAAATGTTATTTAATCAGTATATTATCATGCTCATTGAACTGTGGTATCTTTGGCATTTTTTGTAGATTCAGTTATAGAAATGAGAACAAATCAAATTTTTTTGTGAAAGACTGCTAGTAACAAAGTTTTCTGTATGCATAGACACAACACGGTTCATCTACCGGATCAGGTGCATTTTTATGCTTTAATGAGTCATAGGTCAGAATTGTTGTAGTTTTCCATTTTCTCATTAGATTTTGTAAATTTTCTCTTCGACTTTTTGCTTTTAATTTGCTGAAGTTTCACTTTAGTTTCCAGAGTTGATTTGCTTATTTTCATTTAGCTTTTATTGTTTGAAAATGTTTAGTTTTAGTTTAGTTTTTAATACCATGTATTTGTATTTTATTTTAGTTATTTTGCTTTTTGTCCTTCTCACTACCAGTACCATGAAACAATACCTGTAGCTTATTCGGGTGCCACGGGTAGTCCAGAAGGAAGGTTTGCTGTGTCCCCAAGCACAGTCTTAAGTGTGTGGAGGCACTTAAGACTGAGAAGGGCTCTTACATGAGGAGAGATATAGAGGGCCAAAGTGGGGGTTAACAGAGACCTCCACACGTTAGCCAGTTAACAGTACCCTGACTGCTCTTAGGGGCCTGAAGCCATGCCACATTACTGATCGTTTGGTCAGAAACATCATCATGAGTGGCCTGATGGAGGTGATTTTCACAGGACTCTGGCACTTCTCCACCCATTCCTCCTTGTACAAAGGAACAGATCCTAGCCCGTACCATGGGCATTTTTTACACGGTATATTTTAGGTCAGCAGCAAGCAGTTCCAGTGAGATAACAATGAAGGTCTTCACAATATTGTTACAGTAAGTTAAGTATTCTGTAGTGACGCCATATCTTCAGGATTTCTCCTGAGGATGATGAAGGTGTTGCTGCTGAGGACAGGTGGAAGCAGGAGACTAATATGTTGACTGCAGAATGATAAGTCACAATTTTGTCAGCATGCCAAGACAGTACTGCAGAGCTGGAGACACTGCTGATGCTTCTGTGACTCCCTCTCTGTCTCTCGCTCTCACTGTGTGTGTGTGTGTGTGTGTGTGTGTGTGTGTGTGTGTGTGTGTGTGTGTGTGTGTGTGTGTGTTCAGAGGTGATGGTGGACAGAGCTGCTGAATAATGAACATTGCGGTGTCACTGCAGTAAGGTGAAGCAGTCGCACACACATACACACATCCTCACAAACACTTATATTACCTGATTACACACGTCAAGGACCAAGGACTGGCTTTCATCGTATTTCTCTACTTTACAGGAATTCCTACAAAACAAGCACAAAAAAATAATGCAAGAAGTTACAATCTATAGACTAAACGTGCTGTGACACTTTAATTAACACACACTGTTTCCACAACCATTGAGCTGTGAGCATTTCTCTGCTTTGGTGTTTAGACAGATATCAAAGAAAGACCAGTGATGCACATACACACATGTAGAATCATACTGGTGCTGCTAAACATCTGGAGAGCTCACAAGATGTAACATACTACATCTCTAACATGTGAAATGAAAGTGAGGAAGACATATATTGCCCTCACATGCTTCTTTGTAAGCCGGTCCTGTTGCAGCGCATACCACGATGAGAGTAAAATGCGAAGCAAGCATGCGTGAGAGAAACGTGCATCAGTACTTACAACAGAAAACAGAGAAACTTGACTTGTTCAGATGTCCTGAGGCCAATAGAATAGGACAAAAGCAGAAAAGTTTGCGGGTTGCACGACAGACGAGGGGGAGGAAAGATGAAGGATGAAAGGGATTAAGCAAGTGAAGGAGGGATTTTGATAAGGGAACAAAGAACAAGAGACAAAGGAGAGCAAGTGAGCGACTGGAGGTGCTTGGCTCAGCATTTTTAATAATCAGCAGATAAAGTTTGGCAATAAACACAAGATGCCAACAGACATGGAAAAGCTGAAACTGGTCCAATGGCTACAGCTGTAACAGCACTTTAAGAGTCTGAATATAACACGTTTCAGAACTGTGTGAATATCCAGTGTATCGGTGATAATGTTATGACCTCAGAGCTTCGAGCTCATGGGGCAAGAAAGAAGGTTTTCATGTTTTTGAGACTTACTTGATTGTTCTCTCTTTGTTTTTCTTGGGAATCTGCCTCACTTTCTTCTCCACCTGAGGTTGCCTTGCCTTTTGTTTCTCTCCTTCTTTTAATTTTTTCTCCGGCAGAGACGAGGTACTGGACGTGTCCTCGTTGCTCAGAGATTTTGAAGGTTTAAAAGGGTCCACAGAAACATCAATATTGTCCGGGTCAAAGCTGTAGGAGCTTCTAGGAAGCACTGGAGAGTTGTTCACCTTGCTATTGCTACCAAATGGATTGAAGTTTGGGTCATCTGACTGACTGGGATCAAAGTTATATGATCCTGTCTTAAGAATAGGAACATCGTCCAAGTTCAAAGGTGTAGAAGAGTCTGAAACTGGAAGAGAAACTTCCAGATCAGGCTCTGAAACTGGCTCTGGTATAGACTGGGGGACTGGTTCTGGTGCTGGCTGTGAAAGTGTTTCTAACACTGTGGGTTCTGGTTCAGGTTTGCAGGAAGCCTCGGATCCTTTGGGCTTCTGCTTCTTTGTAGCAAGTTTACTGATTGTCTTTTTCCCTCCTAGGTTCTTTGGAGGAGGTCTGCTGGCTGGTCCTTCATCCAGGCCAAACTCCATCATCATGGGCTTAACTTCAGATGATGGATTTGTTGTTTCCGAGTGTGCTTGTGCTGCTGAGCTGGCCTCTCCGAGTGGCTCGAGTCTGGGGAAAGAGCCCGGTTCACACGGTGGGGGAGAGTTTTGGATTTTTGATCCGCCGCTGGTGAATGGGTTAAAGCTCTCATCCAAAAGGTCAAAGTTATACGTGACCTTAGGGACAGGAAGCTCTTCTTCCTCGTTTGTGTTAGCAGCGTTATTCAGCGAGGACTTCATTTTCAGAGACGGAGGTTTGGATTTCCTCGTTTTACTCTTTTGAGTAGGCTCTGCCTCGTTGGACAGGCCATTGTATTGTGCCTCTGGTTGAGCAGGAGGTTTCTCCTCAAGGGGCTCTGGAGCTGAGAGGATTTCAGGTTCACTGCTCAGGATTGAATCTGGTTCTGAGGAAAGAGCAGGACCCAGAGCTGAAGCCAGATCTGGGACTGGATCAGCTGCTAGAAGAGTAGCTGGGACTTGGGATGACTCAGAGGATGGAGCCACTTCCTTCTGTGTGGATAAATCAGCAGCAGGCAAAGAGCCCAAATCTGCTGGAAATTTCACTGTTTGTTCTTCTTCTAGGGTCTGAATGTTTATTTCGAGCGGGCCACCCATGGGGACTGCAGGCTCATCCTGACCCATGTTGTGGCTGAGCAGAGTGTCCTGATCCCTGACAGGAGCAGTCACTATCAGGTTCTCCTCCTGCTCCAACTCTGTGGAAGAAATGAGACCCAAAACACCAGAATTAATCATAAAACCAAAACAAGTCTTAAAAATTAATACACACTCCTGCTGCCAGTGCTGTTCTCTTTAATAACACGCCAGCTCAGATGTCAGTGATATCTGATTGGCTCTCTGAAAGCAGGTTAGTCACCAGCCAACTGTTCCAATTGCTGCTGTTGCCATGGTAATATGTTACTATGAGGGCCATGACATTTGTACAAACTCATGCATATGAAAATAAAATTAAAAAGGTGGAGTGGTTTATCATGTTGTGTGTGTTTTAGACAGTAGTGATGGTGGCTGCTGTGGCGCAATCATTAGCTCAAGGGAAGATTTTGAGACCACAGCATATTTCAGCATGCCTGTCATACTCGCCGTGTTCATGTAACATTATGTTGCCAGGAAACAAGCAAAGCCTGCCGATACTTCTACCCAGTTCCAGTCGGATGTCGCCAAAGTGTCACTTTTGACTCCTTTAGTACAAATATAAACTCTGTTGGTGGCGCTTGTCATGTCAGGTAGATCTCACTAAGCTGCACTGCCTGTTTCACTAATAACATGAAAATTATCTATCTGATAAAATGTTATATGTGCCTTAAATAGTATAGGCAGTGATCTGTACTTGTAGTGACCCCAGGCAGATGTCAGTCACATCTCTAACTGTGACCACACCTTTAACTCTGCAGATAAGAGAGAAGGGCAAAACCACACTACCAAAAGGTCCTCATTAATACTTAATACATAACCCTAATTAATCCTACTTTTATTGATCTATAGACACTGTTTGAATCCTAAAGATTAAAGTAATATATTAAGCTACAGTAGTATTAAAAACTGTTGTTATGCAGATCCAAAATTCTCTACACGTGATGGTTTTCGGTTCTTGTAGATCGACTGTGATCTGTACACTTGTAAATAAAGCCCACTGAGTCAGTGTGGAGAAAATTTCCCTGAGATTGCATCTCAGTTACATTGTCAACAGAAAACAGTTTAATAGGTTATAATATAGTAGTGATTCATTTAACCCCGCTGAGATCAAATTGGGCTTATATGGTCCGTCATCTAAAGTGAGTTGCACACCCATAAAATAGTTATAAACTGTCATCACGCAGATGCTGATGTAGTAATGGAGACTTTGGATGGACACATGCAAACACTGGCATTAGCATGTTTACTTTCAACGATGTTTCCAGAGATGCTTCAGCTCCTCCCTGCCCGAGATCAAACTTAGAAACAGCTGCAGGGAGAGATGTTTGCAGTTTGAATGGAAACTCCCTCCTCTCTCCACACTTTCTGACCTTTGCAACTTACTCTTTTATAAAATGTTGTTGGAGCTGTTTTACAGGATGGACTTAATCCTACTAAAACCACAACAGCCACACAAATATGAGGACTACTAAAAATCAACATGGGCCCAAAGCATGATAGCTTTGGGCCCATGGCTTGCTTTGTGCTCCCTTCATACTGACCTCTGTCAGTGACTACTACAAAGCAGGGCGGGGCTTTAGATGAAGCTATTGTTGAACCTGTTGAATTCCAGAGCAAAGGCCTTTCCCACACTCTGCTACAGGCTCCTCCTTTTGGTGATTCAAAGGACAAAGTCAAGGCTTCATCACACCCAAAATCGTTCCTCATCTGCAAACCAACTTACATACCAAGCATGCAGAGCATATTTGGCCACCTTCAGGTATTAACCTTAATTATGTTTAATGAAGTGCATTCTGCATTTGACTGCTTGTCTGTACCCCACATCGTAAGTCATTACTCAATCACACAAACGTTCATTTTAGCATTAAAAAAACATTATTTTGTTGACACACTCTAAACACATGTCCCTCTTGTTGACTATGAAGATAAACACAAATGTGACACCTGAGCATTTAGTGAAGCATCTACCCTTGTTTCCATGGCAACCTTGAAGCTACTGCTTTGTGTTGTGCACTCGAACACGCATTTCTTCTCATATGTTGAATATTGTAGAGCTACTGCTGTTAAGATGTTACAGTGGACAGCTTCTCATCATCGCATTTCTGTCTGTCTGCTGTTGGCCTCACCTGTTTTGTCTGCATCAGAGTTGTTGTTCTCCAGCTCTCCTGGGATGGTCGGCGGGGCGCGGACAGGAGTCGCTGCCTCAGGAGTGCCAAAATGACCCTCTGAGTCAGAGCTGTGGTAGTCAGCGAGAGATACATATGAGAGAGAGAAAGATTAAAACATTCAAAACATTAGAAAGGAGCACAGAAATGATCATATTACAAAAACAGAGAGCACGAGACAGAAAAACTCCTGCTGCCAAAAATAAAAATGAAAGACAAATAAAAATGAAAACCAAACAAAACAAAAAAAACAGATGCACTATATTGATTCATGGTATCATAATGTACAGATAGTCCCAGGTCAGACCAAGGGTGGAATTCGCCTCTTGTGCTACATAAATAAATACTTTTTAGAAGCATGAAGGTGTGAAAATACAACATCTTGTAACCCCCTGGTGGTAGCATCACCACCTGGGGGTTACTAGTACTACAGAATAACCGGAAATGATTTCTATATTGATTTAGAGCAGGGGTGTTAAACACTAGGCCTGGGACCAGAACTGGCCCAACAAAAACTGCGCATTGTCGGTCTTTGGGAGATGTAAAGGAGGGCAAACAAATTGTTAAAATTAATTTTACTTATAAAAAACTCCTCCATGGAAAATCATAACACAGCAAAGTAATTAAGTAATTGATAAACAATTAAATAAGAGAAAAATTCATGTTTTGTTTTTTTTTACATTTTCTTTGTTCCTTTTCACAATTACAGGAGAGTCAGGGCAACAAGCAACCAGAATTTCTTTCTAAAATTTTAAGCATTCATTGCTTATAATTTAAGGTCAAAGAATTGTGCTGACAGACGTCTTTTCATTTACTACAGCAGCATTTCTTTATCATGTAGAAAAGCTGAGATGAAATATTGAAAATGTACATGTTTTTCTTATATAAAGATATCTGCAAGTGACAATGCATATTTAAACCTACACTGAAAGGAAGAGCAATTTCACAAGCATGATGTAAATTAAGTTTGACATCTAGAGGATTCTGAGTAACAAAAATCAAATATAAAAATCACATTTTATTGCAACTTAAATGTGCCACTGTCCCAGCTATTATCCTCTGCTGTTGCATTATGCCTTGGAAAGACTCAGTATTGTCTGAACTGGTGAAGGAGTGAAATACAGATAAAGTGAAAGATACATAGAGGAAGAGGAAGTGCAAGTAAGCCAGCCCACTATTTCCTGTTACATTGCTAGAATCATGGGGTATGAAGTATGAAACTGTAACATCCAAGCTGTAAATGATGTATTAAATCAGAATATGAACATTAAAACAGAATAAAATGATGTGTGATTTTATAACATTACATCATTCGATTAGATCTAGCAGTAAGAATTGCTGTTGCTCTGGTTGAATCTAATTTCACAGGATAGTAAACATGGATTTTGTCATTTGATTACTTGATACCCGATGACAGGATATTGTGTCTAGTTGAGTGTGCAAGAGTGGAAACAGTTGTGAGTTCACTTGGAGCAATAGTAAGTATCCATAGTGTCAAAGCAGGTACATGAGGACCTGATAACTTGGGAGCCTGTCGTGTTTGTGTGATCTGAGCAATGATTACCTCGTTGAGCTACCTGCCTGTGCAGTGTGAGTGTGTGCGTTCTTGTACAGATCTGACAACGTGCCAGTGAGTCTAAGAAAAACACTCAAACGTGGTGACAATCGAAAGCACAGCCACACCACAAATGTGTCCGCCCTGCAGGACAACGCAGCACGCGAAATATAAAAAACGACACCAATATTTTTTCTCCTTCTCCCTTTCCTCGGCCTATTTCATCAAACCCTTAAAACAGCAGAGATTCTTCAACCTGACAGGCCGACGAGCAGGTAAATAAAACTGTGTGAGCCACCCTATCAGTAGTCACGGGGGCTCCAGTGCAACACTTGCCTGCAGCCTTGAGATCTCTCCTCCTCGTCTTCGTCTACTCTCTCTCCACGTTGCTCCCTCTCCTCGCTGGCCTCCTGCCCGTCTTCATCCTCCTCTCCCTCTCCCCCGCGCACTGCCGTCCATGTCCATTTAGCCCATGACACGGGTGAGAGCCAAGACATCACTCTTTATTCCAGCAGGGTCCTCTGACCCTCTCTCACCGATAGCCGTGGATTGGTTTCCAGCACTTGACTGATCCTTTTCTGATTCTTCCTCAGGTTTCCACCCAACCAACAGCTCTCACATCTTTCTATAGAGGTTCCCACTTCTCACACTTCTCAGTTTCCCATGAAGGGAACTACACATTTTTACACTACCCAACTTCTATATCACTAATCTCAAAATTACAAAGACTTGAGCTGCGTTCTCTGCCCTTCTTATTCTTATTTCCAGTCACGCTCTCGTCTCTGTCGCTCTCTCTCCCTCTGTTTCTGTGGCTGAATACCTCAGCTCTGATCAGCTGGTTTATCAAATGCTGTGCTCACTCTCTTCTCCTCTCAACCCCCTACAAACTCTCCCCTCCACCTCGGAACAGCTCACTGACAGAAAATGCAGTGGGGGAAGGTAGTGAGCTGTCAGCTCAAAGAATGAATGCAGCTTCTCTTTAGGCTTCTACATGACTTCCCCCACGGTTGAAGAATGGTATGTCCCTGTCAGGCCGCTCTTCCACTCTGAAGCAGAAGGAGGGAGTCACAAAACACACACCGAGGAAGGAGGAGGAGGAGGAGAAGGCCTAGGGAGTGGAGGTAGAGGAGGAGCAGAGCTGTTTGGGGCTCCACATTTTATAGTCCAGAGAGAGGTTAGGAATGTGGGGCTGGATCTTAAAGCCCCACCACCCCCACTCCTTTGTAGACTGTTTAACAGTTAACTGTTTCTCCCATCCAGTGGCAGCCAGACATGCATGACCAGGGGAACCAGTTCTGCATTTCTGTTGGAAAGCCCCAGGAGATATACCTGGCTGGATTCAATTTGTCTGAGGTAGCAGTTCAGACCACCGAACTGGCAGGAAACCAAAGTCTTCAACGCAGTCAGGAACGGGTGGTAAAAAAAACAAAACACCCCACTGTAGCAACTTAGAAGGAGAAAATTGGGTCTTAAATCTCTCAACAGAGCAATAAAATGGCCCTCTAAATACAGCAAAAAAGTCATTCACTACATTTCCATGAAAACCAACAGAAAAAAAAAATATATATATATACACGTGTGTGTGTGTGTGTGTGTGTGTGTGTGTGTGTGTGTGTGTGTGGGTGTGTTACAGAGAACCCAAAAGTGGCTTGCTTCTAGGACAATGATTTCAAATGTGCTTTTTTTTATTACATGCAATAAAAGGTGAACTTCTTAAAAGTTGAGAAAATCTATCATCCTGCCAATTATATCAGTCCTTTATTTACTTTTACACAAGACAAACACAGCAACAGATCATCTGGAGAATAGTTTAAGTTGATCTAGGTGGTTCTAGATACAAGAGAAGTCTAGAAATAGACAATGTCTGTAAATTAATATATCACATGAAGAGACAATCTCAAGCAAATGATGTCAGTAAAGAAGAAAAACACTCACAATACACATACAGAACAGGGGGCAGTGGCATATCCATGTATAACTGGCTAATAAGAGCTATACAGCAGTTTTTGCTGTAGATTTTCTGCACTCCTTCAACCACTTGCTGCAACAGCAAAAGCTTCTTGTGTTTACCCAGACAGACAGCACGATAATACATCCTATTTCTGTAGTCTTGTTGTATTAAGGTGCCAGAAAATTCAAGGCTTGGTTCGTCTGCTGAGTTGCTAAACTCCTCCCAAGTTCCCATCGAGGAGCAAATACACAGACGTGCTTCAGTCAGGCTCAAAGTTTCCACATTTGACCAGAAAGGGTGGAGTTTTCTACCCGCTTATTTACAGTCTGATTCTGGTAAAGATTGTGCCTGGAGTGAGGACAAACACTGTTCCTGCATACTAAAGACATCATCTCACAAGCATGAAGAACTACTTGTGCTTTTATCTTTGAGTTGGTATCTGTTTATTTTATTTTTTTTGCCTGTGAAATGTTTGTTTGTGAAAGACAACATTTTTACTTTTTTTTTTTTTTAAGTCACAGAGTAGCAGCAAAGTCCTACCTTGGGTTGGGTTTTACTAGGAGAATAGATTAGCATCTTCCCACAAGTTACACGAGTGGTAATCCTGATCACTGATCGATATTTACGTCACGTTTGCGTGATAGAAACAAAGGTGTGTTTCAGTGCAGAAGAGGAAGTCTGCATATTTAAACCTTATAAACCTTATAAATAGCTCCTTCTATCGGTGGTGAGGGGTCTCTGAAGATGCATGCGAGACAGGGATAAGCATGTTATATAAGTAAAGGTGCCTATGACTTCCCCTACTAAAAAATATACATATAAAATGAGAACTATACACTGAGATCTTTTTAAAAAAAAAAAAAAAAAAGCCAGAAAATAACATTGAACTGAGTACTAACATCTTTTGTTTGCCATTTACAAACCATCGAGGTTTGTGGACCAGTGCTTTACTTATCTAAAAACGGCATCAATAAACATCAGCATGAGGCAGCTGTGTGTGTGAATGTGTGTGTGTGTCTCCAGATAAAAGACCACCCCATACTTAACGGCTGCCACAGCCACAGACCAGAAAGCTTCAGCCAAGGAGTCTGAAGCACCACCAGAATCCAAACACAACTCAAAAGAGCTCAGATTTCAAGCCCAGCACGAGGTAGCCAACAGGCATTTTCTAGAAAACAGAAAGTCACTAGTAACAGACAGAATAACAATCTGGCCTCTCCCGCTACTGTGATGTTTATTCTAAGCTGACACATCAGCTGAAATTCTGACTTTCCTACTACAAATGCATTAACTGCACACTTATGTTTAGTCTCTGTGTCAATATGGCTGTAACCGATATTGGAAACAATGCGGAGATCAAATGTGCAAACTGTATTCAGGCTGTGTCAACAGTCATCACTTTAAATGTTCTATCACCATAAATAGAGTGGGAGACAATAGAGGAACCATGTGATTATATAACAGCCATTCCTGTGGAGCCTAAAATAAGTGCAGACACACAAAGAGATGGCTTGGTCTCAGCAAATCCCAGAAAACTAACTGAATGTTCCCGGAAATTAATTAAT